AAGAAAGGAGAGAAAGGAGAGAAAGGAGAGAAAGGAGAGAAAGGAAAGAAAGGAAAGAAAGAAAGAAAGAAAGAAAGAAAGAAAGAAAGAAGGGAAGGAAGGAAGGAAGGAAGGACGAACGAACGAAGGAAGGAAGGAAAGAAAGAAGGAAAGAAAGAAAAAAATTATCCTTGAATGTGGCAGAGAATTGGGTAAAATAAAAAGGATCATAAGTATTTCAATAAAAACATGACTAATTTTAAAATAGAATAAATTGATGGGTTCTAAAGTGACCAACAGTTTGTGAATGAATTTTGAATAAATAAGAAACTGGCTATAAAGAATGTATGTAAATTTCTCTTAAAAATATAGTTTGCTATGGAACAATAGGAAATTAAAACATAGAAACATTAGAAAAGAAGTACTACCATTACTATATCCGCAATGGAGTATATGATATAGTGAAACCACAGGGGTTTTGGGACCATGAAGTTATATCTGTATACATTTCCTCAAAAACATGGGAAAGTACTTCATAATTTCTATAAATAAAGTCAGATTCATTTTTAATTTATGTAATGCTATGCTAGTTGCGAGGATATCACAATGAATACAAAATGAACTCTGCCTCCACAGAACCCACCTTCTCATAGACAAGTGAGATAGAAAACAATGGCTATGATAGATAAGACCATTATGCTACCTCCTGGCGCTGGGCAACGGAGCAGCCCTTGTATCACAGGTCTTCACAGGAGACCATAGTACAAAGAAAAGGATGGAGAAAAAACCGCCAAGCAAAGGCCTTTTAACTAAGTCTTAAAGACTTAAGAGGGAATTATAGAATGTATAGAAAAAGAGGGTTCTCAACATTTCCGAAGCCCCTGGAATATATTAGGAATTATTTTCTCCAGGTATGGAATATGAAATCTTCTGCCCTAGAAATCATACCTTCCCTTCTTTGATCTTGGTTCCAATAATTTGTCGTCTTTGCTGAATGATCTCAATAAGAAGATCACACTCCTCTGTCAATTTGGCTTCTTGACGTGATGCATTGACCTACAGGATAAGTACAATGGTAAGTGTTAATTTGGCCTTTGTTTTCAGTTAAATGCTATTTTTAATGTACACTAGGATGTTTCTAGTAATCTCGGAAAAGATATTTTAAATGTTAACTCTTTGATTATGCAGGGATGGCAAATATGGGACTTACATGGCCACTTCCTATCTTGCATCCTTGGAAAACATTATTATCCAGTGACAGCAGTCTTTTGTACTAAGCCAGACTCAGCTGCAGAATCTTTAACATAATATGTACATAGCCATTACCAATTAGTTGGAAATTGATGTGTCATGTGAAATATATTTGCAATTCCTGCTTTTATACTTTAAAAAAGTATCAAATTTTTCCTGTTAAACACAAAAAATGTAAGTTAAAAAAACAACCAATATCATTCTTTTATGGAGGACAGATTACTATCAATCTCTTTTAGACAAATTTTCCATAAGCAATGTAGCAAGACTGTATCACATTTATTTAACATTTCTTTTAAATACAAACATCAATTTTCTATCTAATCATTATAAAACATAAATAAAGCACCAAAAGATGGTTCAATAGTTTATTAATCTTATGACATAATTTAAAATTATACTCCTAGTATAATTCTGAAAGATCAAGGTTCTACAATGAAAGAATACCATTCACATGGAAAGGTGGATCATTACAGAGTGGCTTGTATTTGAAGTTTTTGTGACTCGTATGCAAGGGAGGCTTACAATTAGCTCATTCTTGGCAACTAGGCCTGGGAAATACTCTGCACATGCTATTTCCTCCATCTCATGACAATTCTGAAATGCTTATTCACAAACAGAAACCCAGAAACCACAGCTGTGTGAGATGGAGATAGCAGGCATGAGGTTTATTATTTTAACACAGCCGCAGGAGAAGTTGCAATGTTACAAAGAATGACAATGGCATTGATTATTCTAGCATATCTCAGGGAGGAGACATGGCCCAGTCCCTAGCCTTTTTGATTTGGAAGACTTTAACTGGAGTAATTTCATTCTCTATGAATGAGATAAACTGGAAGTAGGGTCATGAGTTCAAGATAAAAATCCACTGATGGCTGTTCACAGAAACCATGTCCTGTTTCCAGAGGCCCAGGATTCCTTGAATTTTATTCATGATCATTGTTCAGACACAACATAGAGATTACTCAAGACATCTTATTGAGAAGATGGTCATTGGCCATTTGCAGTAAACCATGAGATTATGTCCTGCATCAGTTTAGCAGACAGAGTTATTTGCTAAGTATTTGTTTAATGAACAAAGAAAAAAATTAAAAATGCATTGACTGAGAAGTACAAATGTAGAACTCAGGCTAATATTTCAAGGAGGATAATCATTAGGCTTCATTTCTCTTATCGTTCTTTTATGTCATCATTTCTAGTTCCCCTTGAGGTTTCTCAAATAAATTTAGCTGTCTACTGACATATTTTCTTGAAACTTACACTCAGTAAATTTCTTGTGTTTCCTTTTGACCTCCTACTGAATTTAATAACTAACTACAGCTGAGTTATGAAAAGGATGGGACCATATTGATAACATAAGCACATTATGATGGAGGAAGTAAAATTTCTAGAAAGTAGCACTGACAAAGCTTCTTTGCTTGACCAAACTTTAGTCTTGAACTTTCTCCTGGGCCCTTCTGTGCACTTCCTTGTAAACCAGTTTTAGCAAGAACCCTGCTGAGTTGGTTTAGCCAGAATCCTCCATCTCCATATCTGATCACTCTCAGTATCTGATTGGGTTCTTCATCCTTCACCATGCCCTGGGGAATGTCTGATCAACTTGGTCTACCTTCAGCAAGAATCCTTTTAGATCGGTTTAACCAGAATCCCCCTTACCCTTGATGTTTCCTCTTAGTAATTTTCCATCCACTTACCACCACCCTGCTTCTTGGCTGTAAATTCCCACTGGTCCACATGACACTGGGAGTTGAGTCCCATTCTATACTGAGGTCTCTTTCCCCTTACTACAATAGTCCTGAATAAAATCTGTTTTTACAGCTTTAAGTACTGTCCAGCTCTAGTTTTTCTTTGTCAGACCCCAGACTTGAAAAGTATCTACTAGAAATAAACCCGAAGAGATAAGTTGTACTTGAGAATACCAGGTAAATCTGATAGAACGTAAGCTCCATATGCGCAGGGATCTTCAGCTGTTGTATTAAATAAGGTATCTATCCCAAGCACCTGGTGCCATGTCTGGCACAAAATAGGCATTCAAAAAATATTTGTTGAATAAATAAATAGGGAAAATGACCTTCCAAGAAGAGACAGGGCAAAAACGTAATGGAGCAAGTAGTTATTACTAGCAATCACTCGATATGCAGGCAATGGATGAATTTCCAAGGACTGTGTAGACACAGAATTATGTCCTAAGGATTGTTTTATTTGAGGGGGAGGGAGGAAAGGAGTTGATTTTTTTTGAGACAGGGTCTTGCTCTTTCTCTGTCACCCAGGCTGGAGTGCACTGGTGCCATCACGGCTCACTGCATCCTCAACCTCTTGGGCTCAAGCAATCCTCCCCCTTCAGTCTCCTGAATAGCTGAATAGCTGGGACTATAGGCATATGCCATGACTCCCGGCTAAATTTTAAAAAAATGTACTTTTTTGTAGAGACGAGGTCTTGCTACGTTGCCAGGCTAGTCTCAAACTCCTGGGCTCAAGTGATCCTCCCACCTTGGCCTCTTAAAAGTGCTGGGATTACAGGTGTGTGCCACCACACCTGGCCAGGAATTGATTTTTTAAAACTGCCTTATTGGAATATATTTCACATATCATAAAATTTGTCCATTTAAAATGTGCAGTTTTGTGGTTTTTCGTGTATTCACAGATGATTTCATGTGCAATTGTCATCATAATCTAAGCCTAAAACATTTTCAGTGCCCAGAAAAGAAACCCATAATGTGTGCAGTCACTCCACATTTTCCCTACCTGCCCCAGCTCCAGCCCGAGGCAATCACTAGCCTACTTTCTGTCTGTTTATGGATTTGCCTGTTCTGGACATTTCATACAAATGGAATAAAATAATACATAATCCTTTCTGTTTCGCTTCTTTCACTTAGCATAATGTTTTCAAGGTTCATCTATGTGGTAGCATTTATCAGTACTTCATTCCCTTCTATGCCAAATAATATTTCATTGTATGAATAGACCACTTTTTGTTTATCTATTCTTTAATAGATGCACACTGATGTTTCTAGTTTTTGTTTGCTATAAATAATATTGATATGAACATTTATGTACAAGTTTTTGTGTGCCAATATATATTCATTTTTCTTTGATATTGGGGTGGAATTGCTGGGTCGCATAACTGTGTTTAATGTTTTAAGGAACTGCCAAGCTATTGTTCAAAGTGGCTGCATTATTTTATATTCCCATCAGAAATACAAGAGGGTTCCAATTTCTCCACATCCTTGTTAATGCTTGTTATTGTCTGTCTTTTTAATTTTATTCATCCTAGTGGGTGTAAAGTAGTATCTCACTGTGGTTTTGACTTACATTTTCCTGATGGCTAATGATGCTGACCATCTTTTCATGTACTTACTGGACAGCTGTATATCTACGTTGGAGATATGACTATTCGGATCTTTTGCTCCTTTTGTAATTGGGTCATTTGTCTTTTAATTACTAGATTGTATTATTTCTGTACATATTCAGAATACAAGTCCCTTATCAAATATCTGATTTGCAAATATTACCTCCTGTTTTGTGGGTTACCTTTGCATTTTCTTTATGATACCCTTTAAAGCACAAAACATTTTTAAATTTTAATGAAGTTCAATTTATCTACTTTTCTATTGTTACTTGTGCTTTTGTTGTTGTACCTAAGAAACTATTGCCTATCCCAAGGTCATGAAGACTTACTGTTCTGTTTTGCTCTATAAGTTTTATATTTTATATTTAGGTCTATGAGTCATTTTGAGGTCAGTTTTGTGTATGGTGTGAGGGTAGGCTTCTGACTTTATTCTTTTGCTTTGGATAGCCAGTTGTCTCAGCACAATTTTTTGAAAGACTATTCTTTCTTTCATTGAAGTGTCTGAGAACCTTTGTCGAAAATCAGTTGACCACATTGTGAGGTCCTCAAGTTTTAGTGTTGTCACTAACATATTCCACACTTCAAGCTCTTCCGACTTTGACTAAGTCCAGTGAGACCCCACTGCTAATTTTAGAGTAGGGGCTGTGAGATGAAATGTGGTGTGTAATATACCCACATGGTGACATTAGGAAAATCTTAGGCTATCTCCACTTGTGAGTTTTCCTATTTGTAAAATGAGCTGAATGATATCTGCTCTCTCAGCCATGTGGAATTATTGCGGTGAATACATGAAATAATATATGAAGAAACACCTAAACTTATGAAGCCATTGACAAATCTGAGGTACTGTTGTCTGCATTGAGAAGGGATTTTGTAATCAGATTATGATTTAGTTTAGGATCCATTTCACTCCCACAATCATTGGGATTTGAGTTACTGCATAGTAGAAAAAGTATCCCAGTTGCCACTGTAATATGGGGCTCAATTTAATCCAAATTTTGGCTATTTGATTTACAGAATGGATAGGTTTGCTTTACCAAAAAAGTGGGCTGAAATCCTCTTTGCTGAGGCAAATGTGTTTTGAGAACACTGATATCACAATCACCGTCACCCCAAAATGTAAAATCCTAGAAATTTGGGAACAGGATCTATTCATTTTAGGCCAAGTATTTTTCCTAGATCTTTCAGAGAATACAGATTTAGCTTTCCTTTTGAAACCAGGGAAGTTGAATCTTGTTTTCTACTTTCATGAATTTCCAAATTCTTGTAACTCTAGTATTCTTATATTCCAAAAGGTACAATAAAACAAGTTAAATACTATTCTATATTTCAAAGATTTTTCTACTACAAAGAAGTTTTCCACAGTTTTGCTATTTCGTGTGTCACTTAAACAAAGAATTAATGATTTGATTGGACTTTCTCATTAATTTCTATTAGTTCGAATATGGCAGGGTTT